TAGCTAAGCAAGGGCCTTTATCAAACAAGTGTTTTCTATAAAAAACAATGTGTGAAAAATGTTACAGTAGCTAATATTAAATCACTAAACTGTTGCAGGGCACCGTTTGTTTAGTTTGTTGCATTTTCTCAACAGAACAACAGCCATGTCAATTAGAGCTGATCTGTTCCTGACTCACCTGGGTCAGTGATCCAAATCCCCACACTGAATCAGGAGTCAGATGTTTCAACCAACCACTGGGTCTGTCTGAGCTGTAGAGCTCAGACAGACCCAGTGGGTTTGTCTGAGTCCTTTATGCCTGATGTAGAGTCCACTACATTCACAGCTGACAACCTGCCAAGAGCCTGCAACAACCAATCACCTTCTGTCTAATTGTTTTACATTGGAGCAGAATGTGGCTGTTATCCAGTCAGCTCAGTTTGGAAAATCAGAGAGAAATTCTCATGGTGTCAACTTCAGGCTTAGTTAGACTGAGGTCCACTTAAGAGCAGTTTCAGCCTTCCAAAACAAATAAAACCTGAAAAAGTCCACAGCAGGTAACACTGGTATCTCACTGACCTGTGACTGCTTGGTCACCAGAATTCATTAAGAAGTCTTCAGAATGACTTGAAATGTTTCTTGATTTCCTTGCATCGGTTGTAGAAGCACACAGTCCTTTATCTTAAGTTTTAAACAGGTTTAAAAATTTGTGACAAAGTTTCTCTCTAAGTAATCACAGAGTAATTGTGACCATTTCTAACCCTTAATTGAACCTCTTGAATTTTGTTTTTGAGTGTCTCAAACCCATCTCAAGAAAACAAAAGTTGTATTTTGACACATGCACAAGAGCTCTCTGACAGAAAACAGTCCTTGGTATGAAAGGTACACTAATAATGAACAATAATTACTAAATTTAAGAAAACTGGTCCTGACGTCATTTTTTAGGTGTACTCCCRAAGATGGGAGTGGCTGCCTAGTTGATGGGCTGAGGTGGGCAATGAAATATTATGCACAACTTAGAATACGGTTTTGCAAATTAAAATAAGATGTGATTTTCAAAATCTAGTATTCACAATGCAGCTACACAACCAGCTGGTCCCTTGGTCACAAACAGAATTCATGAGACTTCAACTGGAAATTTGTTCATTTTCTCACAATTATGAGTAACAAGTTAGTCTCCAACAGTCTCAGCTCAGTGAAAAATCACCTTCAAAACAAACTTTACTGGAGGAGTTTTCTTTCTCTGTTGAAAAGTTGTCATTTATTTGACCAACTCACTATGAAAAACACAAACCCGAACATTCATAGCAGGTAAAGAAAATTATGATTTTCCACCATATTACTTTTAAACCACAGTTATAAACGTTTTGCAATAACGAATGGTCCGWGTTCCAACAGGACAAGTCTTCAGTGAAAATAAGCAGACCTTTAGTGAAATAACTGTCAGATTTAAGAGTGACAGTGCACAGGTTTCCAACTGAACTGCTCTGAAATTTGTTTTGGTACCTAAACCAAAAAAATGTTGAGTGTTTCAAGTTCATTTTAGGTTAAGGTGATATTTTTATAATTTATACAGATGATGACGATGATGGTGGATATCACAAAGGTTCTCTGTGCTCATTCTGTGAATTCTGTGAGGTAAGTCAGAAACCTTATTTTTGACTAAAGAAAATATATATTTTTCAAAAAAGCTGTGTGAATTCTGAGTTCTGAATAACTTTGCCGGAAGATGAAAGTGAGCTGAAAGCTAAATGTAGCAAAAAATAAATAAATAAAAATTACCTGAAAGATAATGAAGCAAACTGCAGTGTAAATTTAAACAAGTTATATAACATTTTAAAAGTAACAAAAAACTATCTGAGATCTAAAAGTAGCACAATGATGGCAAAATTTAGCATTATTAGAAGTGTCATTAACAGTATGAGCTGTTTTATCATTAATATTTTAATCAAGGCTCTCAAGTCACACTCTGACCGTGAGACACGTGCATTTCATGAAGTGCACACGYCACATTTTGTATTTTCACACTAAAACACATACACACACATGAACCGTTTTCAAAGAGTACCAATATGCAGTGCAATGTTCGGGCTGGAGCACAACAGGGTTCATGGCTGCATTTTTTACCAACTTAGTGACTTTGTTGCTACACTTGGCAAGTTTTCAGATCCCTCCAGTGACTTTTATTTAAAAATGTGACTAGTGACAGGTCTAGTGACTTTTCCTATGTTATTTGAGACTTAAGCTGGAAACATACTAGCTCCAAACTGCCGACAGCGGCACGGGTTGTCGCAGTTTAATGACAAAAATTACGTCACCGGGCTTTGCAACGTTGGTTCGACAGCCCCTTTTGGCACAACCCGCCGGCAGAGCTTTTGACCCCCATCCTGTGTCGACGGTAACGTCTGATTGGTCTGAAGTTCGTGGGCGTGTTTGTTTGTGTTGAACTGAAAGCGTTCGGACACTCCAAAAAGAAGAAAAAACTCGTTTGTAGAGCCGGCTGTTGAAGCAGAGTTTTATAAAGATAGTCAAACCGAGAGAAACTCATGGCGTGTTTGTTTGTGCTGAAAGCGCTAGGCTGACTTCAACCACTCGGTAAAAAAATAA